TATTTTGAGATACGTTATCTCCGTTTGTGGTTATGTAATTATCTTTTGATAAATTTTAATTAGCCTCTCTGTTTTATATAGCATGTTAGTTTTATTCCAATTGTGGCATCTCCCGTCTTTGACCACGCGGGACGGGGGTGTTACAGTATATGAGAATATCATTAATAAATACGATAACAGATTTATCATGATATTCTTTACATACCCGATTCATTAAATCCATAAAGGCTGCAGGTGCATTAGTTAAACCAAATGGCATAATTAAAAATTCATTATGTCCGTACCTGGTTTGAAAAGCTGTTTTGGCAATATCCTCTTCTTTGACTTTGAGCTGATGATATCCTGATCTTAAATCAATCTTTGAAAAATAACTAGCTCCCACCAACTGATCAAACAAGTCATCGATCATTGGTAACAGGTATTTGTTTTTGATCATCAATTTGTTCAATTCTCAATCTATACACATCCGCATAGACCCATCTTTCTTTTTAACAAAAAAGGACCGGAGCTCCCCATAGTGAAGTGCTGGGTCTAATGAATCCCTTGTTAAACAAAATTTTTAATTGAGTAACCAATTCTTTGAGTTATATAATATATATATATATATATAGGGGTCTATTCAAGGAAGAACTGAGTAGTTTGTGGTAACCGTGAGATCCAATTTTAACCACAAATCAATAGATAAATTAGGAAATTTATAATTTTGGTAATTTTGAATTAAAATTTTAATGCAAGAATATTTTAGATATTTTCTCTCATCTCTCATCTCTCATCTCTTCGTCCTTCGGCCACCGTCTTCCGGTGATACCACTGTGATACCTAAAAATATTGATTCTGTTAAATAAAAGATACAGTGTGATACCCAAGCATATATAAGATGCATTGTGATACCACTGTGTTACATATCTGATCGACCACACAAACGACCTCAATGTGATACCCAAGCACACACACACATGTGTATATATATATATATATATATATATGATGCATTGTAATACCATTGTGGTATCACCGGAGGACGATAGTCGGAGAGAGAAGAGAGGAGAGTTTTAAAATACCAAAAATGTCCTTACATTAAAATTTTAATTCAAAATTACCAAAATTATATATTCCCTAATTTATCTATTGATTTATGGTTAAGATTGGATCTCACAATTACCATAAACTAATTAGTTCTCATTTAATTAGGCCCATATATGTATATACACACACTCTACCTTACAATTGCCATCCCCACACATTCCTAAGTACAATCCCAAGCATCATTACACAAAGCACAATCAAACCCCCTTTGATCTCTGCTATCGCCACCGAAGTATCATCCATATGTACATCAAAAACGTGAACATGTTAAGTCACATGCGTCATCAATTACATCGGGTGTTTTTAAGTTGCTCACACCATTCATCCTTGCGTCTAAGGGGCCTTAAGCCGGTCGTTAAATGCCTTCACCTGATAGTCACGTGAGGGCCATTTTGGTCCTCTTAAAACATTTTTTTTAAATGTACAAGTATGTAAAACTTGTGTACAAACAGTTAAAGCATTAAAAACAAATAAAACCCACTTGCTCCTATTCTTCGCCCCCTCCCCTAGTTCCCACTCTTTAAAAACGCTGGCCACAACGAACATCATTATGTGTCATGGCTCACGACTTGTGTCTCATGTCACGTGAAGCCTGAGGCACACCATGGTGTAATGTGTGGTTTAAGTAATACGATATTTGATTTAACTTATCTTTTTAATGTGCTAATTTTTAATCTATAATTTAATTTAAATTGTTTATTATCATTGATTAATAGGAGGAAGACTTATGTTTATGTATATAATATTATATATGATATAGAGATTTGTCACCGTAAGTCACGCTTTTAAAAACACCATAACTTCGTCATGACTTCCAAAGCTTGAGGCTTGGTCTTTCCGCCACGTCATGTCTCACACTATTTAGAACCTTGCTATTTCTTCTTCTTCTTCTTCTTCTTCACCTCCATCGCCTTATCCTCCCATTGCATAACACCAAAAACTCGACCTGCCATTGGCCATGCTAGAATTTTGAATGTATTTATTGTAACCTTTGGAGTTGTAATGATTAAATAGACCATGTGTTCATCTCCCGTACATAATCCAAATTAAATGCTCATTATCGTTCATTGTTTCAGAATTGATTGCTTTTCTTGTTGAAATAGCCAGAGGGTGTATGATTTTGTAGCGTTATTTATCTATACTATATTATAAAACATTTGACAAAAACTTTTAAAAACTATTTTTTATGCATGAAGTACTGTTTATTGATGCATATTACTTAAAATTCAAGATTACAAGTAGATTGTGCTTAAGTATAACTTATTAAAGCTCTGTCTTTGAATTCATGTAACTAACTGCAGATAAACATAATCAAATACAGAATAAACATCTCATTTTAAATATAAAAAATCTGAAATATAATTAGGATGATAATTGAGTTCGAACAGAATACTTAATGATTATTTTTATAAAAAAATATATTACCTTAAACCTAAATTAAATTACTTTGTTACGTTAAATTAAATTATAATAAAAATTTCGAATTAAAGAAATTACAAAAAACTATAACTTTTAAATAGTTAATTTGATACTAATATTGATATATATATTTTTAATTTTTTTATGATATTTTTCAAATATAATATTCAAAAATAAAAATATTATCGCTTTCTCAAAAACATAATAAACCGTATTATATCGAAATATGTAAAGAATAAAATGAAACATTGAAATCGAGATGTGTCCCGATATATTGCACGAGTATCGTTCTAGTACTTCTTAAAAATGTTTGAAATATTTGTAAATAAGTTTTAAACATTTATACAAGAACATCAATTATAAAAAAAATAAGAAATGACTAAAAATGCTTGAGAAGTTAATGACCGTTTGAGACCGAGGACGGTGTGTGTAAGCAAATGAAAACAAATATTGGTCAATTTCAAATTACAATGATAGTTAACGATTTAAATAAATCAATAAAATAAATGATATACGTTAACTTATACATCTTAGTTGTACAATGAAATGATATTTCTACATATAATACATTTCTATTTTATTTATTTGTGTCGGTATCAATTAATAAAATGCTTTTGACTTTTGATGGCTCAAGTTTTGAGTGAAAGAAAATATTTGTTTAATAGCATTTTCAACGGCTATGTTAAATTGAAGAAAAATTAGGCATGACCAACGGGGCGGGTTTTGTAATCCCCGTCCCCGGCCCCCGGCCCCGGCCCCGGTCCCCGGCGGGTAAGGGGATTATCATTCCGTCCCTGGTCAAATTCTAGCAATCCCCGGTCAAAACCCGGTAAACCCCGGTCAATCCCCGGTAAAAAATATGCTTTAGTTTGATTATGCCGGGGATCCCCGGCCCCGACCCCGGTCCCGGTTTGAGTAACATCCCCTGTCCCCGGCCCCGTCCCCGGTTTGAGTCTACCGAGGATCCCGGCCCTGTCCCCGGGACCCGTTTTAGCGGAGAATCCCCGCCTCCGTTCGGGTCGGGTGAACCGGGTTCTCCACCGGATCGGGGCAAATCACCATCCCTAAGAAAAATAATATTTTAATATTTTTGTTGCTCCAACAGTTATACCATCTTTAATATTAAAATGGATAAAAAATGAGAGAGATTATAAAAATCTATAAATTCAAAGAAATCTCTAAAACTTTTGTTAAAAAAAGAGAAATAATATTTTAATCATATCCGATCAATTAAATTTATTTTAAGTTAACTGAATAGGAGAAATGAATAATATTTTATTAATATAATTAATATTAAATTGGATGCAATTTTTTTAGCATATTTATTATAAAAAATTATAACATAATTAATTGAATAATTTATAGTATAGCTGATAAAAAAAACTACAGCGTACTGGTACATGTAGATAGATATTTGAATTTGAAGTAGGTGCATTGACATGTAGATCGCAGTGGTTGATACCTTACGTGAGCAATGTGGGGGGGTTTTGCATTTCACAGATGCTTCCATCTTCAGTTCTTCATCATCAGGTCAGGGTTGCATACCCATCCCAATAAACGAGATGCATCACTAAAAAGCAAGTAGGTTGTTGAGCATTTTGCTAATTTTTCCCAATCGCCGTTTTCTTTACGTTTTCCCCTTCAATTATAAATAGTTTTGCCCCTTTTTCTTCTATTTGCAGTGTCACAGATCTCGATTCGAAATCTGTGGTTCATCAATAGGATTTGACTACACACTTGTGTGAGACTGAGAGAAATGGAGAACGAGAAGAAATCTTCACCCGTCTCTGATGTGGGTGCATGGGCTATGAATGTTATAAGCTCTGTTGGAATCATTATGACCAACAAACAACTCATGTCCTCCACCGGTTATGCTTTCACCTTCGGTCAGTCAGTCTATAAATCCCATCACCAAAACCCTCTCTCCATTTAATTCATTGCTTTTTCTAGATATGCAGTTTCTGTTATTGTTTCCTTATCTTTACAGAGTGATGGGTTTCGATAAAGGATGGAAAGTTTGGTCTTCTTGGTGGGTATATGGGTTTACTGATGATCAACTCACTTAATTTGAATGTTAATTGTTATTCATAACTGATTTGTTAGGCACAACTGCTTGTCTATGGTGTATGGATGTCATTTATGTATGTTCTGGTTAGATCATGAGAGCAACAGGTTTCACTTAGTATGTTTCCAAGCCCTGTAATTTCTCTTCTTGCATCGCCTTCATTGAAATGGATCAATACAACTGCTCAGAACAGAATTAGCTCATTGCAGTTTAGATTTCCGAAATCTCAACTTGGGTGGTTGACATGGTTATTTTTTTCAAAGAGTAGTCACAGATCTTTAGTGATTATACTTGGTAAAAATATTTATAGGCATATGCACTACTGAACATAAGCAATGACATATGTTATCTATATGTGAAGCTTTAGATGTTTGTGGATTGCACATGAAGGAAGTGGATTGCATTCTCTAAGTTTATCTTGGCTTCATGGAGTTCTTTACTGCAAGCATTATCTAAACCGGGGATAAGATCATAAGAGGATCTTTCTTGAGGTTGCTATAGCTTTAGAGTATGTTCTGTACATGAGGTTTTATTTAGTCTTGCTTCTCATAGAAAGAGTTTCTGGAGTTTCTTTCTGGTTTAGCCTAATTGATTTTCTTTACATAGTGACGTTCGTTCCATGTTCTGTGAAATAATCATTGTCCTCAATTTGAGTTGCAACCTTTTGAGACCTGTTTGATGGCGATTTGAGTGGCGACATAGTACCTAGAACTTGATATCAGTTGGCTGTTTTGATATTTACTTGATCAGAATTTGTGAATGCCCTTACTTACACTGTATGAAAGAGCATATGGATGGTTTCATTTGTTCACAATATGTGTGTGGATCAGTTTACCACAATGGACATAGATAGAAGGATTTAGATGAAACAGGGTCATTAGTGATTGCAGTCAAATGATGACTCATTGTTGAAGGTACAAAATTTTGATAATCTGTAGGAGAAGATTGGTATGCATCTATGTATAACGGAGTTGAATAGTTTTAGAATGATGTGTCTTGATTTGCTGTTAATTGGAGCTCTATAGTCCTTAGATCAGGTAGTGGCTGATGTTCCATTATTCCACGTATAGTAGTTATTTAAATGGTGGTCCTGCAATATCTTGTGTCCTGTCTCGAGAGGGAGGAATTTATCTCCTCAGCACAATTGATGTAATCACTCTTCTTTTTTTCCTCTGCTAATATGAGGCATTGAAAACACAATTTGTTGTGGTGAAGATTTATGAAGTTGGAGTTTCGGTATTGAAGCACCCAAATTCTACCTCTATTAGATGCCATTTATGATTATAATTAGGCAACTAAAAGCAAAAATTTATGTGCAATGGTGTAATTTTGTTGCCTGATAGGGGTATGGGAGAATCAGGGTGCCTTGCATTCAACATAGCTATATGGTCATCTGTCAGAATGTAATGATAGTTGTCTCTGAAATTTTCCAAATGTTGTTTCTGAACTTTGTGATTGTGCAACGAAAATTAGGATTTTATTTCATAGATGCCTCTCATTAACTGGGTTTAGTGTGATATTTTGCTTTTCTCCAGCCACAACATTAACAGGATTCCACTTTGCTGTAACTGCACTTGTGGGGTTTGTATCAAATTCTACTGGCTACACTGCATCAAAGCATGTTCCATTGTGGGAACTCCTCTGGTTTTCAATTGTTGCAAACATGTCCATCACTGGGATGAACTTCAGCCTCATGCTAAATTCAGTCGGATTCTACCAAGTATGGATTCTTAAATTACCATCCATGCACATATATTACTATTAAGTTGAAAGAATCTTTTATGCTTCCACCTTGATACTTGCTTATGTTTTAGATCAATATATGAGCTGTGTCCTTCACTAGGAGTTATGTTTTAGAATCTAAGTATATGATAAGCTTCTATCTATTGCAGATGTTAGTGGTAATTTTCGTCTTCTTTGCGCGATTAATTTCGTTTCTTTTTGTAGTGAAACAAGACTGACTTTATAAGTTAACTGAAAGATCGAGTGGCTGTTGTTTTGCTAGCAAGACCTTTTCACTCTTTCTCAGAGGGGACTGCATGCATTGTGGACCGTTGTACTGTGCTCTCCCTTTTTCTTTTCTATGTACCTTCTCCAGCTCATTTGTGGGCAAGCTGCCCGTACGTGAGACTCTAATATTGACCATTGATTATTAGATGATTTAGACCTTCCCTATATATGTATGTGTGTGACATTGAGAAAGGAGAATGGAAAATTAATGCAATTCCTCATTAAAAAAAAGCTGAAATTTATTTTTGAACAAACCATAAATTACAATCATCTGTAATCATACAAATCTGTATGTAAATGACTAAATATGCTAAATTGTTGTGATTTTATAGTAATTACGTTTTTCCAACAAGGGCCTTCTGAGAGAAATATGTGAAAATTATTACAATCACTCGTACTAATCTCTCAAGCCACCCCATTCTAGGCCAGTTTTAGAGTTATCAACAAAAAATCCTTATCCCATACACCCACCCTCTCCTATGGGTGGTGCATGGAAAATTTCCACTTGTATTGTAGCTAATAGCGACATTGTCTTTTATGTGCTGTAGATATCGAAACTAAGCATGATTCCGGTGGTATGTGTAATGGAATGGATCCTTCACAATAAGCATTACTCAAAGGAAGTTAAAATTTCTGTTCTGGTTGTGGTTATCGGCGTGGGTGTTTGCACTGTGACTGACGTCAAAGTTAATGGTAAAGGCTTTATATGCGCTTGTGTAGCAGTTGTGGCGACATCATTGCAACAAATTGTAAGTGCATGCTCGTTTAGTTATCTTTTTAATTTGGCTAGTGTGGTGCAGGGCTTTACCTGTTTGGGGTAGGGTTTTATGAATTTTAAATGCCGGACAGAACCGTTAGGGAGTGTTTCCTTTCTGATTGTTAGTGTCTTTATGAATTTTTTTTCTGGACTTTGCTTCGGAAGATGAAATATAGTCTCAACTAATGGCTTGATTTTTTTTGCACTTTGCTTTGGAAGATGAAATATAGTTCTCGCCCAAATTTTGACCATACTACCATGTATTTTTTGTCTTAGAGGGGTACACTATTCTCTTTTATCTGGCAGTAGGGGCATATTTACTAGTCTTCCATTCAGCACTAGAACTTGCCATTCCCATGGGTTTGTATCTCTCATCATGCTTTCTTTTTAGTATATCTCATCTCTGTATGTTATCTTTTTGGATATTTGGAAGTGAATTTTTTTTAAAGTATATAACATATTTTATATACGGCAAATGCAACAAAAAAACTCAGACACTGTCCTCACCATTGGAAGTGAACTTGTTTGTTAGTTATCTGAGAAAGATTTGTGATGTGTTATGCAGTCGATAGGGTCATTGCAAAATAAGTACTCGGTTGGATCATTTGAATTGTTGAGTAAGACGGCTCCAATTCAGGCCCTCTCGCTTCTTGTATTTGGTCCCTTTATCGACTACTATCTGAGTGGAAATTTTGTATTAAGTTACATGAGGACCATATCTTCTGGAGCGATTGTAAGTGTCAGAACTAAAAGCCGTTTGGACTTTGGAATTTTTTTTTTTGTGAAATATTCGTGCTATAATACTAATACTAATAATTGGTTGAAATTGCAGTTGTTCATACTCCTTTCATGCTCCTTGGCAGTTTTCTGCAACATTAGCCAGTACCTTTGCATTGGGCGTTTCTCAGCAGTTTCGTTCCAGGTTTTAGGTCATATGAAAACAGTGTGTGTCTTGACCTTGGGCTGGCTCTTATTTGATTCGGAGCTGAGCTTAAAGAACATTTTGGGGATGCTTGTTGCAGTTGCTGGCATGCTTATTTATAGCTGGGCAGTGGAGCTTGAAAAAGCAGCAGCTAGCTTAAGCTTAACCCAAGAGGAATTAAATTTATTGAAAAACCAGCCTCCTATCAAGGATTATGAGCTTGGTCATGAATCTAAATAGATTAATTAACATTATATTTTTGATATTTATTTCAGTTGTCATTTGTACAGTGTACAATGAACACAAGCTATTTATATTCCTTCACTTAATTGTTGAATTGAATCACCTTGCTCAAATTCTATTATGCATGCATGGTTTTATGTATGTATGAGATTCAATCTCATATATTACATTAGAATTTTGATTTCTAAGCACTTTTATTAAAATATTATGTAGAAAAATCAAATATCTTCTATTTTCTCCGTAATCGTTTTTGGATATTGATAATGATCACTTTTTTGATCCAATCTTCCACGATGAAATCATTGATAACTCTATAATCTCTGTTGTCTAAATCTCATTTACGAATATGAACATCGATGTTATTTTATTGATCGTTTGAAATGGAAGCAAACACAAATGATCTTATGATCCTAAGGAATCATCATCAAATGGTGATAATCACTTGTATGTTGGTTCATATGTGAACTTCTGAACCATAACATAGATTCATACGTGAATTTTAATGGTAACTTGTATGTGATAAATTTACAACTTCTAACCTATATTTATATTTGAACTTGTGAATCATAACATAGCTTTACATGTGAATCTTATTTTGTAACTTGTACTTACAATTTATAAATTATAACTTACATTCATATATGAATCTTTGATATATATATATATATATATATATATATATGATATTTACAAAAATTAAGGAAGTGTTTGGGAATTTGTATTGCTTATAACCCTTAAGGTCTTAAGCCCTTATCCCAATAACCTTTAAGCCCTAAACCTCTTAAGTGTTGATCCAACAGAAATATAAATTAGAAACACCTCTTTTCCATTTCCATTCAAGACCCTGATGATATAAGATAATAAAAGCTAATATAGTACCAACCAATTCAATAAAGAAACAAATCTATTCCGGATCGATCGAAAGTTCGATTCTATCTGAAAAAATTGTTCGTAGGAAAATGGACCAAACGAGAATTTTTTTTTACCGCCAAAACCTGTGCCCAAATACTCACTTCCGGGCATTCATCGAAAGGAGATATACAGAAATATAAATTAGAAACACTAACCCTAGTCCCTACGTCCGTGCTTCAAGTTACGTCTTTCTAAGTTTCTCTCCATCACAAATTTACAATTCACAATTTCAATTTTCAAAGATTCCTTCATTCCACGATATAAATAACTCGATACTTTCCGCATTCAGTTCTAGCTATTTCTGCACAAATATTTCACATTTTCTATGATCATCTCTATTTCAGGTATTCGGGGAATCCTCCTTAATAGACGAAATATCACAAGTACCGCCTCGTCCTGGGCCATCGCACGGAAAACTATAACCGAAATCCTTTTTATCCCGTCGGTCCGTCCCTTACGGCTTTAGCTAGTTAGCCCCTTGCGGGTTTGAAATACCATGGATTATTAAATTGTCCATAAATTTAATAAGATTAGAAAGCTAATAGTCATAAGGTGATATTTGTAATCAAGATTTAGGACTTGTTTTTGTGTTACTTATAGGGGGTTGAAAGGATAGCATGTTGCAGATACTAAAAGTTATGTTTCTCGCTTTCTGTAGCTCTCAATGTTTAAGAAGAATTATGACCATCTTTCCAAGGACACATACTTTGACATATGGAAATGGGAAGTCTGTTGCTCGTATCAAACTCTTGAAATTTGATTCCAAGACTTGCGGATTTAGATATATTTTTGGATGATTATAATAACGAATGACTTTGTCGGGTATATTTTTAATATTATTTATAATATTTCATTTCCCAATTTTATGAATTTTAGTAACCCGCCAACCCAACTCAACCCACCCTAACCCGCAAGGGTTGGGTTGGGTTATACTTTTGAATGGGTTGGGTTGGGTTGGGTTGAGATTTCCCAAACCGCCATAATTGGGTTGGGTTGTAAAAATGTCATAAACCGCCCAACCTAACCCATGTTCACCCCTAGATACAAGACGAAGCTTTCAGTCAACGAACATCAAGGATCACTTGGTGTAATCAAGTAAGGGGCCGTTTACCAAATGCTTACTCGGGTAAGCGCTTATCAAGTCACATTTTTTTACCGGATGAATATGAAAATAATCAATAATCTTACCAGGTAAGAGCGAAGGCACGAACCGAAAGTCTTATCCGGTAAGTGATGACGACAACTCTTACCACGGTCAGCGCTTACCGGGTAAATTATTACATACGATGTCGTTTTGGTAGACTAAAATCTTACCCGATAAATAAGAACTTCTTATTTGTGAAAAAGAAAAGAGAAGGGGATGGTTGTCTAATAGGGTAGTATGGTCGTCCCCTGTTGGGATGTACTATTAAACCTAAATTGGGGTTATCCGCTAGAGTTGAATTTTACCGTTAAGCGCTTACCGGGTAAGTGTTTAGGTAAACGGCCCCTTAAGTTGAATTAATGTCAAGTTTAATTTACAATTTAATTTAAAAAATTAAGTTGTCTAATGGTTTTTTATGAAAAAAGCTATAAACTTATCCTAATACAAAATGGGGCATACAAATGTATGTGATGTGAAATAACGGTAATACATTTTACTAACGACTATATCATATTAGAGGTAGAGGTGCTCATGAGTTGAGTTGATCTGGTTGAAGACATTTGAACAACCCAACCCGATGCTTGCTGTTTGAAAAAACTTAACCTAACCCAACCCAACCCTACCCAACCCAAACCAAACCAAAGTGCAACCCCAACCCAAACCGTACGGGTAAAATAATGAGCATGTCTTTCTAATACTCTTTGCAACTGAAATGCATGCCTATAGTAAATATGTAGACTGTAGAGAAACAAAACAATAATAAGGGGTTGTTTGGTAGTCGCTAAATGGTTTAGAGCAAAACAATTAAGTGATAAGAATGATCAAAAGGCTCTTATTATATAGTGCAAAATGAAATATAATTATTTGGTAATTACTTACAACGAAATTAGGGCACCGAATGGTTAAGGGAGACTCATTATACAAAATCATTCAGAAGGTTTTTAGAACCATTAAGAGACTGACTTTTTTGCCAAACAAGATCCACCTCTTAACGATTAGAGACTGCCTCTCAATGAAACTATTAAGAGATAAGCAAACAACCCAGACAGGAAACTAATGACCATCTATCATACTAATTAAGGATGGATAGATTATTCATAACATGTATGTATGTATGTATGTATGTATGTATGTCTGTATGTATGTATGTATGTATGTACAAGGAAAGTAGATTGTATTACTTGATGGGGTGTGGGTTTGACTTTGACATGGTTAATAATAATACTGAAAAAAGGTTAACAAGCTCCTCCTTAATCATGAAAAGTACAGAGGCTGCAAATACACTCTGTACTATCTTGGTGCTCATTCCTTTGTAGAAGCTTGACAATCCTTCATAATGTATCATCTTTACAATTGCATCCATCGTACCTGATTACGATTCATATTATAATTATAAAATATCATCTAAAAATGAAATCCAAGTAGAACCACACCAAAACAACTTCTACCTGAATATCTCAGTGAATTGTTTCTGCTGATTTCTTGCTTTGCTTGAAGTCTTGACTGTCAACATAAGTAAATGAGCTCAAGTTTTAATTACAAGCAGATTTCATGTACAAGAAGAATATGGGACAAGCTATAGACTATCACTAGAAACCCTTGTTGGTACTTGTAAAATCAGAGTGATGATAATATATGGAGAATGTGATTCAGGGTTGAATGCAATTTTTATTGACAACTCTGCAATACATACAAAAGCTACGGCTATATACAGATCCACGGTATCAGGTAACATAGCTTGTACCATCGATAGTTTCCCTATCTAGTTTGATATGGAATTAATACCGACAAATAGGAAAATGATACAATAACACTTTCCTTTCTGACACTCCCCCTCAAGTCAAGTTGGAGAGTCGATAACTTGTGAATCATAGGAAAGAAAATCTCTTGGTTAACACACACACTAACTGATTTGCAGAGTCCACAAAGTTTGTCTCCATATAGCCATCTTCTATCTTGTCTCTTATGTAATGGCAGTCCATCTCCATATATCTGGTGTGCCCATGACAGTTGATTGGCAGCTACAGGTTATCACACTATAACGAAGTTGGCTTAGGATGCAAGCAAGATGCCCAAATCCTTAAGCAAGCACCCACCATGTCAATTCACAACACGTACCAACCCTTGCAAGATATTCCGCCTTGACTGAAGAAAGGGATACTGTTTTTTGTCACTTTGATCTCCATGAGATTAAGGCTGGTCCTAAGAACACAACATACCCTATAGTTATGCTCGTAAGCAGACATCCTAACCGATCTAAATCACTGAAAGCCCTAAGCTTCAAATTCACTATTGGGGAAAAGAACAATCCTTAGCCAGGGCAAACTTCAAGAGCCCTTCCCTAGTTCATTTAGTAATTCTTATTTGACAGTCGTAAATTACACTCCATTGGCCTATCAGTTGGGGAGGCTCTAACAGCCCTGCATCTAGGGGTATAAACGAGTGGAGTCGAGTCGAGTAGTAGGTTATTCGAGTTGGGCTCGGAAAAAAAAATACCAGGCTCGAGCATGATTCGAGCTCGAATAACTTTTTTAATTTAGGGCTCAAGCTCGAGCTCGAATATTTTTTGAATTATCGAGCTCGATGCTTGTTTATGGGCTCAAACTCATGATCTATTAACTCGATTATCGGCTCGAGGTTGATATATTTTATATTTTTATTGTATGATTTTATGAACATATATGCATGTTTGGCTCGAAAAAACATTTTCTTGAATGGCTCGGCTCGACTCGAAAAGTTTAATCGAGTTCTCGAACGAGCCTAGTCAAACATTGGTGTTATGAAGCTCGGCTGGATAAGTTAAACGTGATTTATTTTGTGTTCGAGATCGACTCGAGCTCGAGAATTATTAAGCTCGAGCTCAAGATAAATGAGCTCGAGTAGCTCGTTAGAAGCTCGACTCGCTCACACCCCTACCTGCATCCTTTAATGATCTCTAATGCATACTAACATCAGTCCTAACGAAGTATTTCAAAATGCCAAGATCCTTAAGACTAAACATCGGATCAAAAACTTGTTAACATAAGCAATGCCCATAGAATCATGTCATCAACATGTATCAACAATAGTATTTGACTAGATCCTTCATATGGTTTCCTCTCTTGGAAAAAGTTCCTGTGTAACGAGCGAAGTTTTCCTATAACGCCCATCAGGCTGTTCACTTGTTTACACCCCAATAGACCACACTCAGTAAGAACCAAGAACATATTTCTGCTGAGATAGAAGAATCCTGTGCGAGAACAGGATACTTCTATCCCACGTAAGTAGCAAAGCCATCGAAGATTTGTAACTTGAAATGTTGAGAAGTAGTAGTATATGGACAGAAAACGAGGACGTGATTATATCACTATCCTTAAGAGATATTAGCCCCACTAGGTCGTTGATGGATTTAGGCTAACTCCCTCCTAGGACCTCCTCGAATCTAAGAACCGTAGGCAACGATCCTACAAGTCCTTCTCATGATCATGGTATAGAGTGATTTAGTGAAGAAGATGGAAAAGAATATTAGATTTCTAAAGAAAGACAAATACCAATATTTATAAGGTCCCAAAAGATGCAACCTTTCATGAAAAGGTGCAACCCTTCATGAAAAGGTGCAATGGTTCATACCCAATTCGGTTTCCCTCCAAAAATAACCGAAAAAATGTTAACCGAAAGCTAATGGAAAAGTTAACTGTCGTTAAGTCTTAGGACCAAATAATTCAAATGCATTTTATTTTATAAAATAAAAATACTTTCTTCACTCCTTGTACTGAGACAAAGCCAAACAAGTGATAGTGATAAAGACTATCATGTTCCAACAATCCCCCACTTAGGATTTATCACAAGCATCCGACTTTCATGCTTAAATCAAGGTAGCTTTTGCTTTGAACCTTAACATAGTGTATACCTCTCAAATAGTCCAGCAGAATCTAAGGCGGCTTAAAGCATTTGAGCCATGATTCCATAAGTTGAGACTCGGAAAGATAACACACATGACAAGTCTTTTTATGATCATGAATAAGGGAGCACTATTATGGCCATGTGCTCGTCCCAGTTTCATAGACACCCATAAAAGCAAAACATTTGCTTTATACTGGAGCGGCACCACTCCTTGTGTCTATATAGGTGAATCCCCTTTTATTACCAAAGGAGTACTTCATTAAGAGTATAAAACTCACCCTCAATAAATTATTCATTAGTTTAGTGAACTAATGTCTACGTTGGGATCAATAACTTGTTAACCTATAAGTAGATTTAAGTCTAAGGGGCCGTTTACCAAACACTTATCCGGCAAGTGTTTACCGGTAAAACTTAACACTATTATTTACTTACCGCGTAAGCTTTTAGTCCACCAAAACGACATCGTATGCAACAATTTACCCGGTAAGCGCTTACCGTAGTAAGAGTCGTCGCCCTACTTACCGCGTAAGACTCTTGGTCCTTGTCGCACTCTTACCGGGTAAGATTCTTGGTCTTTACCGTATTCATCCGGTGAGGTAGTTTGACTTGGTAAGGGCTTACCCGGTAAGCGTTTGGTAAACGACACCTGAGTATAGGGTGGGTTTCCGTTATTGCCAACTTCAATCAATGGGTTTTAAACCCATATCTCTTGTAGTTCCAAAAATCATATCTCTTGGAAGACCTTTTGTAAACGGATCCACTAAATTTCTACAAGAGCGTACATAAACAATAGTAATAATTCCATCAGAAATTAATTGTTTCACATAAGCATGTCTAAGACTAATATGTCTAGACTTACCATTGTAAATATTATTGTAGGCCCTACATAAGGTTGCCTCACTATCACAGATTAAAGAAATGGCTGGCATTGGTTGTGGCCACAACTCTATAACCAATAGCATATTTCTAAGCCATTCTGCTTCCTTACCTGCGGCAGCCAAGGCCAAAAATTCAGCCTCCGTGGTGGAATGAGTAATATATGTTTGTTTCTTTGAAGCCCAAGAAACAGTACCCCCACCAAGGGTGAAAATCTAACCAGTTGTGAATTTATTGTCACTTCCACCCGTAATCCAACTAGCATCCGAATAACCCTCAAGTACTTCTAGAAAACCTCCATAGTACAAATCTGGTTCTTTTAAGATATCCTAGAACCCGACCAATGGCCTTCCAATGGTCCTTATTCCGATTACTTGTAAACCTTGAAAGTTTACAAACTGCGAATGCAATGTCCGGTCTAGTGCTATGAGTAGCATACATAAGACAACCAATGGCACTTGCATATTCAAGTTGTCCTATAGCTCTACCACTATTCTCACTTAACTTACATGATGTTTCATACGGGTATTTGCTTCTTTAATGTCTAAATGTAGAAACTTATCAAGAATTTTATCAATGTAATGAGATTGATTTAACATATAACCCCCACTATGCCTTTGTATTTTAATGCCCAATATGGTATCTACTTCATTTAAAATCTTTCATTTGAAAACATGAAGACAAAAACGTCTTAGTTTCATTTATACCTTGCATATTGGTTCCAACTATAAGTATATCATCTACATAAAGGCATAGAATAACACCATATTCTTGAGTAAACTTAGAATAAATGCATTTATCAGATGAATTATGAGAAAAACCATTAGAAAGTATAGTAGCATCAAATTTCTCATGCCATTTTTTAGGTGCCTGTCTTAACCCATACAAGGATCTCTTCAGTTTACATACTTTATTTTCATTTCCGGGCAATATAAATCCCTCAGGTTGTCTCATGTAAACTTCTTCATCTAAGTCCCCATTCAAAAAGGATGTTTTTACATACATTTGATGTATAGGTAAATTATGAATAGAAGCCAAGGCAAAGAGTATTCTAATAGAAGTAATTCTAGCTACCAGGGCATATGTATCAAAGTAATCTACTCCTTGTCTTTGACTAAAACCTTGTATTACTAGTCTGGCCTTGAAGGTTTGAACAGAACCATCAAGATTTAACTTAACTCTAAATATCCACTTGCACCCAATTGCCTTGGAACCGGGAGGTAAATATGAGATTTCCCCGGCATTATTGGATATAAGAGAATCCATCTCGTCATCAATTGCCTCCTTCCAAAATGCTGCATTTCTAAAAGTCATAGCTTCCCGATAAGTTTTTGGTGCATCTTCTACATGTAGAAGAATAGGTATTTTATTCAAGACTTTATTGTTCCTATCTCCTTCAACTAGAAACACAATTTGCTTGAGAGTTAATAAAATTTGGACTTAGATTTATATCTTTTTTGGCTCTTTCCCTTCTTCTAGGTGCGCTAGACATTTTAAGTAGTTGTCTCTTATTATTAGAACAAATTTTGGAGTGGGAGTACCTTGTGGGACAACTTGATCCAACTTTGTTGAATCATGTCGAAATTTATGTTCAAAAAATTCCACATCCCTTGGTTCAACAATAACATTGATATCTAAATTTAAAAGGCGATATGCCTTTGAATTTTCTGCATATCCCACAAATACACTTTTCAAAGCCTTGGGTCCAAGTTTTGACATTTTAGGTAAAGGAACCTTATAATAGGCCAAACATCCCCAAACTTTGAAATAACTTATATTAGGTTTTCTACTTTTCCAGATTTCATAAGGAGCTACTATGAGTTTCTTTGAGATTACTCTATCGCTTACATGACAAGCCGTGAGTAGTGCTTCACCCCACAGATTATTTGGTAGATTTGCGTTCACCAACATAGCATTAAGCATGTCTTGCAAAACCCCATTCTTTCTTTCTACTACACCATTTTGTTGTGGTGTATATGGAGCCGTCATTTGATGGATTAAACCATGACTTTCACAAAAGGAAGAAAATTATGAGGAAAAATACTCTCCACCTCTATCACTTCTTAGTTTTTGAATATTTTTGCCCTATTGAGTTTCGACTTCGGCCTTATATCTTTTGAAAGCATCAAAAGCTTGGTCCTTAGATTTTAGTAAATACACATAAGTATATTTAGAACAATCATCAATGAAAGTTATGAAATATCTATTTCCTCCTCTAGTTAGTTGTCCATTCAATTCGCATATATCCGAATGGACTAACTCAAGAATTGTTGTGTTTTTATCAATCTTCGGAAAAGGTTTTCTTTTCATTTTTGCTTGAACACATATTTCACACTTTTCATTGTGATCATTATTATAAGAAATAATTCCTTGTTTGGACATGCATTTCATTGTTCTGTAATTTATATCTCCTAGTCTATGATGCCATAAACTAAAAGATGAACATTCAATATTAAAATTTGTAGAAAATAAAGAGTCAATGATATAAGTAGAAGTAGTAATTTTTTTTTTATTGATACTTAGTTTGAACATCCCATCGGCAAAATAGCCTTTGCCTACAAACACACCAGCTTTAGATAGAATCACTTTATCAGATTCTATCACAACTTTTATACCACTTTTACACAACTTATATGAATACTCTCCACTCTTCAGTCCTTCTTGTGATTCCTTGTAGTCCTTGAATAGAGATTGTCGTTACGAACATGCGCCGTTGACCAGAATCATACCCCCAATCATCAGAAAAGGTAAAAGATGCAATATGCGTTTCTTGAATCATGGAGATATGTAGTTCCGAAACCATAGCAGTGAGTTCAGTCGTAGGTTCTGACAATTCAACTATGTTTGCCTCTCCACTTCCATTCTTCTTGTTTCCTTGGTCAACTTTCTTCATAGAATTCTTGCAGAATTTCTTCACGTGCCCTTTTTCACCACACTTATAACAAGTGATTTCAAATAAAGGCCTTTTGGATTCCTTGCAAGTGTTTGTATAAGAGGATGAATCTGCCTTTCTTTTCTTGCCTCGATTTTTTCCGGAATCAACATAGTTAACTTTAAAAGTAGATGCACCATCCAAATTCCGTTCACGAATACGAGTTCCCTCTTCAATTCGTAAATGTTTTTGAATTTGATCTAAAGAGAAATCCTCTGAAGCGTGCATCAATTTTTTTTAGTAATTCCTCCAAAAGGCGGGCTTTTTGGTAATGATTGCCCCAACCACTAATTTATCAGGAATTTCTATGTTGAGATTTTTGAATTTGGAAATAAGAATCAGAAATTCGTGGACTTGGTCCATGATTGAAATATTATCTTTCATAGTAAATTCAAAGAATGTAAAGGTTATGAACTTATCTGCTCCTTCCTTTTCGGTGTTGTATTTCTCCTCCAAAGCGGTCCAGATTTCTTTTGCAGATGTAATAAGTATGTAGAGATCATACAGCCGATCAGTGAGGGTTTGTAAAATATATCCTCTACATAACATGTCATTATTTTCACGTTGCCTTTGCTCCTCTTGATTCAGTACAGCAGTTTGTGGTGTCTCCAAAACGTAATATACTTCTGCAGCAGTTAAGAGAAACTTCATCTTCTCCTTCCAACGGGTAAAATTCATTCCATCCATTCTGTCAAGTTTGATTGAATCTTGACAGATAATCTTTAGCATTGTACTTGAAGCATCCATGAAAATATTCCTTAAGTTTGTTGAGTAGTAGTATATGGATAGAAAAACGAGGACGTGATTATATCACTATCCTTAAGGAATATTAGCCCCACTAGGTCGTTGATGGATTTAGGCTAACTCCCTCCCAGGACCTCCTCGAATCTAAGAACCGTAGGCAACGATCCTACAAGTCCTTCTCATGATCATGGTATAGAGTGATTTAGTGAAGAAAATGGAAAAGAATATTATATTTCTAAAGAAAGACAAATACCAATATTTATAAGGTCCCAAAAGGTGCAACCCTTCATGAAAAGGTGCAATGGTTCATACCTAATTCGGTTTCCCTCCAAAAATAACCAAAAAAATGTTAACCGAAAGTTAACGGAAAAGTTAACTGTCGTGAAGTCTTAGGACCAAATAACTCAAATGCATTTTATTTTATAAAATAAAAAAAAAACTTTCTTTACTCCTATTGGGACAAAGCCAAACAAGTGAGAGTGATAAATACCTATCATGTTCCAACATGAAATTGAGCTTGTAGAAAGAAATTGTTTCAGGTGTAAGATTTGGGTGCCATCATCTCAACTTCTCAAGTGATAATAATGCACCTACACAGACCACTAGTATGGTTCATCGATCATCATGGTGTCTAAAGAACATAGAATAATCCTGGAACTGCGAGTCATACCAAACTCTTGGAGAAGAAACCATGGTCTAGGGAACTATTTCAGACCATACAATGAATGTCACAATCGACATACCTTTATAGTCTCCTCAATCAAACCCAGTTGGCAGTTCCCTTGACGCCTCAAGAATGTCATTAAGAAGGACGTCCTTGACATCCAATTAATGGAGCAGCCAATGGGTAATGACAACCAAATCTATACAAATGCGAATAGACAACATTTTAGCCATTTGAGGAAAATGTCTTGCCATAGTCCATATGCTTAAGAATAAGCATTTGCAATCAAGTTTCACTATGAATGCACACTTACAACCTACTTTGCGCTTTTCACAAGGAAGTTTTCCAAATCCCAAGTATGATTCTTGTGTAGGATATCCATCTCTTCATGCATTGCCCTAAACCATCCTCGACGATTGAGAGCCCCGATCACATTCCTAGGAACAATATAACCATCAATGGTTGTTGTGTATGCCTTTTTGGAAGGAAATTAATTGAATATCTTAGGGAGAGGGGAACCAAGTAGGTCATAACGCTCAATATGGGGTGGTAGAGGACTAGAGGTGTACGAGGTATCAGGTCAGGGATTATATTAGTAGGCGATGAGATGCGTGTATCAAGTGGTGAAATGGGAGACTCACCAGAATCATGATGCATAGGTAAGGACTATGGGCTCTTAGGCACTTGTCTTTCGTGGTGCAAACATACATCTTTGTAGCTTTTTGAACTGAGTATCAGTTAGTATTGTCTGAATAGCAACATTTGGTGCTTGGTGCTAGTACTGATACTAGGAGGCGTAAGATTGGAGCATCAGAAGATTGAAAAAGGGTCATCAACAGGATCTGTTGACAATGAAGCACTACTAATAGGTTTGACAATGAAGGGACTTAACTCACTAAAGGCGACATCAACACACGTAAAATATCTACGAAGGGTTGGATTATAACAATGATAGCCTTTTTGGACATGTGAATACCATAGGAACACACACTTGATGACTTGAGAACTAGTGCTGCAAGTTTATCATGTCTATCCAAATATTTAAGGAGTCTGGTGAAGGAGTACCTTTTGAATAGAATGGAAAAAGGTGTCTGCCCTTTCAAGACAAAAGATGACATACGTTTAATCAGATGATTATATCATCAACTGGATGAACCAAAACATGAACAAAAACAGTAACTAGAGTGAAGAGTATTAGTGTTCAAAATCTGAAACAAACAGCCTCCAGGAGACAGCAAAAGGCAACAAGTGGTGGCAGGACGTCCTCAGGGGGTTGCAGGCGGCTCTGGCACTTATTGCGGCAGTGACTTCAGCAGTGGCAACACTAGGTGTGGCAGCAGCAGTGCCTTGGTCAGGCAACCACTGCTTTTTTCAGCAATGGTGGCTGAGGTTCCGGTGGCAATAGCTAAGTTTCCGAAGGGTTCCTGCTACGGTGTTTAGGGTTTGGCAAAATTCCAGTGACGACTAGGAGGTTCTGGCAAATTCTTGACGAAAGCTGCTAGGGTTCCAGCAGATGCCCGGAGACGGCTACCAGGGTTCCAGCGTCTAGGGTTCGGGCGCCGAAAAGTGGTTCTAGTACCATGTAACTTATCAAGTGATATTCATCTAGAAGGAACAAATGTTGTTATCCCCTTAAGAACAAAATAATAGAATCTGAAATTCTAGGAAATTTAATGATTGATTCAGCAGAGCGGTATCAGCTACAAAAAGTTGGAAGTTACTACATTTAGGCATCTGACGCAAAGGAACCATCGACACCACAAAGAACAATGTTTTCTCCTCATTATCCTCTAAGAAAACTGAATCATAATTTAAAAAATACTGATTTATGGTATTACCTTGACAACTAACAAGGGGTACGTTGTTACAGTTGCTCCAAGTTTGGCAATGGCACCTACTAAAAACACCTGTTCACACATGGCAAAAGAGAACAACTTGAAACAGTGTCTACAAGACTAATAATCAAATGTGCTGGTTTTAAAACTAGGGCAGCTAATAAGTCTAAATTCCTATTAATAGTGTGTTATAGAAGTGGTGAGATTAAAAGTTACATGACAATACTTTTTGACCAAGACCAAGATCACATTCAAAAACTAAAAAACTTTTCCATACTGATTTCTACAAGGGACCATATTCAGTAATCGTATATCCGCAGTCTGAATGATGATAATGATTAGTGCTCAGGAATACAAGTTACAGTATAATATATTACACAAGGTTCTTGTTTTACCTCCAGAGCAGTAACTTTTGTTGAATTCTGCTTCTTATCAGCTCGTTTCGTTTTCAAGTGCTTTATAGAGCTTTCGTAAATCATGAACTGAATTGATGGATTGCACACCTGTCATGTCATTTCCATTCTTTTTTAGCAGTAACATAAGTTTATGCCAATATCCTTATGCTTTGAGGGTTAACCAGCCTAACCATGATCATTGTAGGGATAATGCCTTTCCAAAATCCTAGTATTCCAGCTTCATTATAAACCTCATATGCCTACAAATTGCAGAAGACTTTCATACAAGGAAAACATGCTATAAAGAGAAAAAAAATATGAGAAAAATGTTAAATCAAATAACCAAATTGATGTCCTGGTTTATTTATAGAACTAAGGTATGGCTGATGGTATATTTTCCCCATATCCGCTGAAGCCTCAATTTAATGCCTGTTGTGGATAAAGCAGGCTATGGGCCCATGGAAGAACACCTTTCAAGCCCTATTCCATTGCAGCCCGGCGAAGAGCTAGGAATTGAACTATATATATGGTCAGTAACAGAAGCTATAGCTTTCAATTGCAAGGCTAAACTAGAAAATAGGATGCATCTAAAAGGTGGTTCTCATCCCAGTGAAGTCAGCTTTTGTTCAGCATCTATACATACTTTTAGTCTAGAATTCTAAAATAAATAATACAATTGGAAGCAGCAGTTGTACGAGAACAAGAAGAGATCATAGTCCTGAGGCTGTCTCTTAAGCAAAGAGCCACTTGCTGCCTTTTATTTTGCACATAAGAGGTGCACGGAGCCTAAGAGAAAAAGACATCTCCGTCCTCTGTTTTATGCATATTCCTAATGGCCTTCTCTTCATTCATATCCTAGAAAAAGAGCTAAAAAGCAACCATTTTCTTCATCATGTCCTAAACAAATTGGAAGCAGGACACCATCACCAGCTTGGTAATCAAGTTACAGCACCAACTATTTAAGCTAGCCTAAGTGTGCTTTTTCACCTATTCCTCAACTATGACCCTAATGTGTGGGTCCTTCTCTAATGCTTTCCACTTCAAAAGGACACGATTTGAGAAGAGGCTGCTGCACAATAGAATCACCATTACATGATGCTAAAAATATGGATATGTTAACAGTACCAACCGCATTCAATGTCCCATAGGGATTAGGCTTCATTGAATCAAGTTCACGCAACTTATCGTGCAAAGAAGAACCTATCAAGCTGCTTTCAGAGGATTCCTTTAACAAAGCTTCTTTCTTTGCTTCCATAATCTTCTGTTCTGCTTGAGTATGAGTCTAAATAACACATATTAAAGGATATCAACTGAACATTTATTTGCACATGAAATAAATAAGGAACTGAACAGAGACATCCCCCAAATATCATGTATAAGGTGAAGACTATTGATACATATTAGATTCTCAAACAATGCTATGAAAAGATACAAGTCATAATCATAGAGCCACATTTATTTTCTCAAAGTTACCAATATGGAGTGCACAACCATCGGTGACTATATGTGGTTTGACGAAAATAAATGCTAAAAGGAAGTACCTATGTGACACATGGCAAGCGACAAGGTTTTTCATTTGACAGGATTCTTAAGTGACATAAAATGGAAGTATGTGATGCCATATACAAGTGTAACCCCTTATCCTGTTTCTTTAGTTTAACAACTACATCTATCTCAAAACTCTAGTATTCTTTAAAGATGAGATCAATGAAAACTTATGGAAGACTCGCTTCCAGAATGGAAACTAGCTCCCGTCTTGATTACCAACAAACATAATAAACACCTCAATGGACACTAACAATAACATTTGAGTGAGTTCTTATTCTTAGGATACCTGCATACGTGTCACAAGCACCCATATGGGGTTTGTTAGCAGTACATTCAACGACCTGAAAACAAGGAATTTTGTAGTAAGATACTATACAAACAAAATTAATTGTGCATCACTGCTGATAGGTAACAGTTTAATCAAGTAAAAGCAAGAAAACATTGAAGATTTTGGCAAAGCCGAAGCTTTAGATTATCTTCTTCTGACCATAAATGCAAACTTATTTTTCAGAAGAGAAAAACATCTTTGACCACCTTTCAAACATCAGCAGCACTGTAAGGGTATTCTATGGAGGCATCTTCAGTTAAGAAAAAGGCCATTTATAGAAGCATTTTCAATCTCTGAACGCAACAATTCATTGACCTTAACTGAATAAGGCTTTTGTTTCTTTTATTTACATAATGGTGTTATTTTGTTTACATAGAAAAAAGATAATGAGGGGGACATAGATGCTACAGCCTTACCCTTGTAACACTGTAGCCTGGCTAGAACATATAGAAAAAATAAATTAAACATCTATCTATCCAGCTTGAGCTAACGGTAAGTTGGTAACATATCCTAAGTTCCTAACACATGGGAACTATTTATGATCCAAGGCTAACATTCATGAATTCGACTTGGTAGATAGGTGACGAAGTGCCTAAATTTGATAGAGCGTTCACTGCTGCATTTGCCTCTCTCAAGATGTTATGAATTTCGTGTGTAAGGACTCCAACCTCAATACTTGTAGGATTGCCTGCTTTGTCTCCAACAATCTCTGTGGATAGACGGATTCACCAAGCAGAATCTGGACTACAACATTTGCATCTGATTCAATGTTTAAGTAATCTAACCCTTGCCATCTAAATAGCTTAATGCCAAATTTTGCAGCCAAAAGTTTGCTTCCAAACTTGTAGCTGTATCTACTCTGGTACTTCTAGCATAATTGAAGTACCCTACACAGTTCTGTTATATAATGCCTGCTCATGCTATGCCGGAGTTACCCATAGAAGATCCATGAAAAATTAGTTTAGTCCAAGGATAAGGAGGCAGTTTCCACATCACATATATCCACCAATTTTATGTCTATTTGGAAATTGATAGCAATCCCTCCTGTATAAATATCCGGATCAACATACTTCTTTGCCCTAAAGGTAGAGCCTTGATTATATTAACCATGTGTTGCAAGATTTTTTTGTTAAATATAATCTAGATATTGCACTTGTCCATCATCTAGTGCCTTATTCAGTCCCTTCCATGTGTACCAACAAATTAAGGATGAGAAAATAGCATAATCCCACCAAGAATCCAGCCAGTCCCTCATGTCAACTACAACTAAATAGTGTACTAACACATTACCGCAGTCGAAGCAGGAGGAGGGCATACACTGAAGCTGTCCCAAAAATCATCTGAAAGTAGTTTAGGTGGTCCCTCAATAAATATTTCAGCATATTGAAAGTAGTTTAGCAAGAAGGTAGGTGGAGAACACGAACTTCATTGCAAGCAACCTTTTTGATGAACAAAGTGGATATCCATTTTAATGTGTATGGGATTACCAAAGAGGTAAGTTGCATCAACATTATCACAATAAACTAGTATAGCCTTTCTAACAAGACATTGTAACTCCAAAAGTGCATTGTGTAGCCAACAGGTTTCTGCAACCACATTCGCAACCTTGGAGAACATCTTAAATTGCCCAACCATACTCTTAGGAACTGCTTGAGGCTATATAATGAATGCCACAATCGACAAACCTTTGAGGCCATATCCTCAATTTAAAAAAAATTCCCAGGCGACAACTCCACTACAAGAATGCCATAAGGAAGACATTATTGATATCCAACTAAGGGAGCCATTGTGATTAATAACAAGGGTAATACTTATACGAACAAACATTATCTTCGTCACTAGAGAGAAGTCTAGTCATACTAAATCCCATAAACCTGGGAATAACATTCACAACTAGGCTTTCAACCAATGCAATGAACTTTCTAGATTAAGCTTCACTGTAAACACCCATTTACAACTTGCCTTGTGTTCTCCTGGAGGAAGTTGTTCTGGATCCCAACAATGATTTTTCTATAAGGTATCCATCTCTTACTACATTGCTTTAAACTATCCAAGGTGATTAAGTGCCTCCGTCACATTTTTGGAACCAATATAGGTATCAATAATTGTTGTGTGTTAACCCAACCTTGCTCGAGGTCAAGGGTTCCAACCTCACCAAAGGTGGAGATTGTGTGTGGATTTTCATTTGCTGCATGTAAATATTATATACTTAAAAAGATGTTGTAAACGCGTGATTCACTTAAGAATGATAGTAGGCAAGATAATTTTGGATGAGGTATCTTGTCCAAGTCTTTATGCCTTTTCAGAATGTTATCAAAGAAATACTGAGAGAAGCATAGGTGGATCATAAGGATTTATATGTTGGTAGTATAGGTGTATCAGGTATTAGCTCAGTATGTGATTCAAGCTCACTATATGACGGTAGGTGTGTATCAAGTGAGTAATGGAACATAGGTGGGGTCTTTGTCACTTGTCTTTGGTGTTGTTTGACATATTATTTAGCGAATTCTCTACCGTATGACACCCTCTGATGCCCATACTAGAATGCATAAGAATAGGGTGTCAAGAGATCTAAGAACTAGATTTGGTGGTGGACTACTAGTGGTCTATACAAAGAAGGGACCCGACTTATTGTAACATTGGGGTAAATAAAATATCTATGACAGATTAGACTGTAAGAACAATAGCCCTTTGAGACATGCAAATACTCAAAGAACACACACTTAACATGTGATTCAATTTTATTATTTCTCAGGTAGTGACCATGGACATAGGAGACGCATCAAACTATTTTAGGAGTAAGAAGAGAAGGGGTGTCCATTGGAAATAATATGAAAATGTGTCTTTCCATCGAGACCAGGAAAGGACATATGACTAACCAGATAATTAGTTGTAAGCTACTGCATCGGCTCAAAAACTTTGTTACACACTACAACGGATCGTCATAGTGCAAGCCAAATTCAGCAAATGGCGACTTTTTTCTTTCAGCAATAACATTCTGCTTGGATGTACACATATGATGATTCATGTATAACACCATGCTCAGATATAGAACTTGCGAAATGGATATATCGCGAATAAGCTCTCATATTGGCATGCCGATTGTCTCCTCAGCTTACAATTGGTAAGAGAGTGAGAAAATGTTGATATCTATCTTAAATTTCGTGTTGAAAACTAACTACTTACCCGGCTAAAGCTGCCACAACAAGCCAGGAGAACATGCCAACCGTGCCATCCCCATGACCCTTTCTTTTATTGGCCGCTGCAATGGATTCGGCTTTATTTTTGAAAACTTGGTAAAAATAATAATAAATACCCTGGCAGAAGCAAAAGAATATCGTTGTTATCATATGATAAGTGACACTCATGAGGAATTACAAGCATTAAGCAATAAGCACCTCGCATGTAGTTTATGGGTATTAAACAAAATGAAAAGGGTTTTAATCCCTGCTAAATAAATACTCAGCATATGGTTCCCCACTTATGGCCTGGTCCATGATCAAAGCCCCACTCACTTGGTTTATATGTTTCCTTTCACTGCCATTATTTTATGACCAACAAGCTCCCAAAATTCAGACTATTAGATTAGTTTTTGGCGGTTGTATTCTAAAAAAATGCTAAGAAAAGATTCATGCAAGCTGAAAAGGATGTCTTGTTTTGGAAACTGACAGAAGGTAAATTGATTCCTTTGCTCTTTGTATCAATCAACAGCCTATATATACACAATACATCAAAGGAGCTAAAAGTACAATGATCCTAAAAATCCACAGGCAAAGTGAAACTTTACATAAATGACAGAATATTCTGAGTTCCAGAAACGTTATAAGTCATCTAAATATGCAAATTTGATTTAACTATGGCTGAAATTTCTGGGTGATGTGGAAAGGCTATAAAGCCAGTCTTAAATTGGGATGTAAAAGCCAATAAAACAAAAGACACAGGATGTAGCACCTGTGATGTAGCAGTTCCAAGCAGAGAAGGCTTAAGGCCGCTGTATAGTCCTCCAAGCCCTTCACTTTTAATTACCTGTTGAAAAGAAAATTTCACTTTACAAGTTACCTTACCCTTCCGTTAAATCATGGAATCCACTTTCCAACGAACAAAGGAATACTATATAGTGAAGGTGAGCAGAGAAACTTGTTAAAATTTCAAACAAAACGGACTTTGTTTTTTTCAAATGAATTTTCCACAGATTGGACATTGATCGTAGAAGGCAGAATAAGTAATGAAAGATAAACCTGAAGTATTTGAACAAGTGTACCGCCAGATGATCCCTGAGACCGAGATTTCTTTGCGATTCTCTCTGTCTGTTGGCGTGTATTCACCTTGAAAATACAAATTGTATTGTTGTTGGTTAGCAGCAAGTATTAAAGAAGAAGCCGAGAGAGAGAGAGAAGAATAGGTACCGATTGGAGAGGATATGTGATGATTTGAGCAATGATACCTCCGCCAGCGCCGGCGAGACCGTTGACGACGGCGTTAGACATTCCAGTCCGTCACCGGTTCCTAGAAGAAAGTGTCTTTGATATCTATATATGAAATATCGTTATCATCATTCTGTAGGCATGATGATAACGAGTATGAGTGGTGTGTGTAACAAAAAAGTACAGAAAATTCTACTTCCAACTTCAACTTCGGATTAGCGCCAACATCTAACTTACTTTTGTATATCTTTTCAATAAATTAACCATTTTTCATAACTAATTAAATGATGATGATAACTTTAGTAACTAATTCAATATATGATATTCTATGTATTTTTTTTAATACCAGAATTTAAAATATTGATTAACATATTTTTTTCATAATGTGTTTGTTTTACATTTATTTGTTTTCATAATGTAAACATTTTCAACTTTTTTTATGAAACAAAAATTATACGTGAAAAAAAATTCACATTGTGAACCATATACATATGAAGCAGACGTATAATAAAACAAATATATATTTATCAATACATTAAATGTTTGTTTTAGATGAGAAAAATTCATTTAAAACAATACATTAAGGTAATAGTTTCACAATTATCATAATATATTGAGTTCTTAAATGATTAAGCCTTTTTTAAAGATGTTTGGTTATAAATATTATTTAATAACTAGAAAGGGTATTGATGCAATGCATCAAGACACATTTCTATTTCAATGTTTCGTTTTATTTTTTATTCATGTCGATATAATACGATTTTATATGGTTTTGAGAAAGCGATAATGTTTTGGTTTTAAATAAAATATAAATTTAAAAATATCATATAAAATTTACAAAAAAACATATCAATATTAATATCAAATTAACTTTTTAAAAGTTCTTGTTTGTATATTTTTTTAATTCAAAATTTTTATTATAATTTAATTTAACTTGATTTAAGTTTAATAATATATTTTTGTATAAATATAATAATTAAATATTCTGTTAGAACTCAATAATTATCCTAATCATATTTTAGATTTTTTATATTTTAAAATGAGATGTTTATCATCTATTTAATTATGTTTATCCGCAGTTAATTACACAAATTCAAACATAGACTTTAATAAGTTGTAGTTATGCACAATTTACTTGTAATTTTGAATTTTAAGTAATATGCATCAATAAACAGTATTTCATGCATAAAAATGGTTTTTAAGAATTTTTATCAAATGTTTTATAATATAGTATAGATAAATAAAAATAAAAATAAAAGAAATATTTAGTTTTATATGAGAAATGCCTAAATTTTCGTTTTAGGTTTAAATTAGGAAATAAAAATCCCATTTTTCATTCTGTCATTTTGATTTTTATTATGCGGCCTAAACCAAACATCCTATAAAAATAATATAATTATATTTTTCTTAATATGAAGTGAGTACTTCTAGCAAAGGCATGGGGATTCATAAAATTGGGACATGTCTACAACTTAGGCGTTGATACATTTTTCAAAAGTAGTAGTTTGTGAAATTATAAAAATTTAAGGGTTATGTAATTTTTTGAGGTCTTTGTATGTGAAACTATAAGATTTTGTTTGGTTCGCATAATTCAAAGAATTCAAATGAATTGGAATGATCAATTCCTTTGTTTGGTTCACATATTAAAATTGCATCCTTTGAAATCCACAAATTAAGGAATTTACCATTTATTGCATAATTGAAGGATTTGAATTCCGTCTCATTGCATCCAATTTTGTTGATCTTCTCTCTCAGTGATTTGAAGATGATATTTTTTATATATCGAAGTGTACTCTCTCTGTATTCAACTTCAACGATCATCACTGAGTCTGTTCATTAATCACTGAACATGTATTGTAATTCATTTAGAGACAAGTATTCATCAGGCAGACAAAAGTCACACCACAGAACCTTCGGCGATATCAAAAATAAAGCTGAAGACAGAGACAAGCAAATTCGTGATCTGATGCGGTTTTTAGTGATAACAAGCTCGTCTACACAAGTGTGAAAGCTAGTCAAGATTCAACGAACACTGATGAAACCTCAACGTTATTCCAGTGTCAGCGATTAGATGAATCTTGTTGAACAAGATTAGTTTTTGTCTTGTCCTTCTGCACACAATAGACAAACTCATACCTTTCAAAGTAAAGTATTGTACGGAGTCACTCTACTGTCTCCAAGCATGTTTACCTATTTTATGAAAGACACTATTCATATACGGCTAAAGCCTGTATATCTGCAACAAAGGACAAACTCACCTCTTGAAGCTTGTCACGTGTTTTATACCTTCTGAATTGCATTTAATACAATGGGTATAAATAGTTGAGAAGTTCTTCCTTCTTAGTTGTCTTCCCTTCCCCTCAAAACCACTATAACCAGTGAAGAGCACAAGACCTTCTTAACCTATTTCTTTTAGCAAGTCTTTTCTTTATTGCTATCTGTAACTTGTGTGTTTCATTGATTGTTTAGATCAGTTATGCATCTTATCTTTTTCGCAAAGAATCTGTAAAAATCAGTATTGATCTTATTTATCAATATAAGTTTTTTAAAAGCGAAAGTTATTGTGTTTGTATTTACCCCCCTCCCCCTCTACAAATTGTTACATATAAACTCTTGTAGATCCGGTTGGGACCAACAAGTTTTATTTAAACACAGTGTTTGTTTTAGTGTTGTATTGTTGTTTTATTATATCTTCTTTCTAGATAATTTATTTATCTTTCAAATGCCTTTGCAAAACACGAGCACAAACTTTCATGATGAAGGCTCTTTTTTCTAAACCTCCCCGGTTCATCAAAGATAACTTCAGTCTCTGGAAGAACCAAATATCTCTTTTCTTAGAGGGTGTGGATCCTGAGATTCCATACTACATTGAAAGTGGACCATATGTTCCATTTGTAATCTCTCTAGCAGTTCCTGCTACTGCTATGACTGTCGCAATTCCTAAACAGCCGATGCTGAAGCTCCTCATCAATCGAGTGACAAAGACAAGAAGAAAATTGATTTAGATACTCGTGCGAGATCTATAATACATTTGTAGACGAGCTTGTAATAACTAAATACCATTTCAGATCACGAACTTGCTGGTCTCTAATATTCAGCTTTTGTCTTCGACATTGTTGAAGGATCTGTGGTGTGAGTTTTGTCTTCTTGAAGTATAACAATCTCTTAACGATTTACAATACACATTCAACGATCACTAAACAGACTCGATGAAGATCGTTGTAACTGAATGATAGAAACAATAAACTTCGATAGATAAAATGGATCATCATCAACTCAATGAGAGAGAGATCAACAATCTCCCCTTATTTGATGATGACGAATCAACGTAAAGAAAATTGCTTAAGTTATAATAGTAAGAAAAAGGTACAAATAAAATACTTGTCCTTTTTAACTATTTTGGGATCTTTTTATATGATACAGTTTACTTATATATTACTTAAGTTTGTAAGGGATTACAAGTTCAATGATAAACTGACATGAATATGATAACTGAAATTGAAAGCATATTCACTGACTATAAAGTTGTCAGTGAATGAAAGAGAACTGAAACTCATAGATAACTATCCCTATTACTCTTTTCAAGGATCTTTTTCAGTGCCACTAAAGATTTCATTGTATATTAATCATTGGAAAATATTGCAAGTCTTTCATCAGTATCTGGTAGACCTATTACATATAGATTATACACTGAAAATAAAGAAAGGAAAAACAAGATATTACAAGATAGAAGGATGTCTAATCTAAGTCATCGAAGTCGATATAACCAGGTACATCTTCTTCAAGCTTCTTTTATCTCAGTATCTCCCTTCTGATCTTGTGATTCATCACCTCTCCAGCTAAGTCATTGTCCAACCAAGACCTGAGATACTCCAAATAGTCTATTGGACAGAGGTGGAACTTGGATACTCGCTGGAAACTGTATTCTCCATCATAGTTAATGAATATTAATCTATACTCAGGCTTCACGTGCACAATGTTGGGTATGTAAGGACCCTTCACTGGTAGTGTCAGGTTCAGCTTTGAGAGATCCGGCTTCTTTCGATTATTCAGGATTTCTTAGAAGGAAAACCTTGTCTCGTGTTCATTCCTATGGGAAGGTCCATCTTCAGGATTTGAAAGGTGTCTTTTTCTTGAGAGAGGTTTGTCTGGCATAGGGGGACATCAACAAACTTAGACACTTTCTTGAATAGCTCGTTCAGGATGTCTTCTATTATTGGCTTGTGTTTTGACTTGGAGTGTTGGATGGCTTGTCGTATCTCCAGCCATTCATCGAAGTTGTATTGTCCAAGATAAAAAGGATACTCGGTGACAGCCTCTTGGTTCTCTCTGAAGATGACCATAGAGATGATAAGTCCACCATCCTTCATCCGTCCACTGATGGTGACGTTTGAGATCCTATGGGGACTTATTATCTTCTTGATCATTTCATTGCACCATCTTAAGTCACGGTCTTTCAGCATCAATGCTCTTTAATGCTCTCGGTCAGCTTGTGACAGCAGTTGATTCTGAGCCTTAACCGAATCCTTTTTCTTCATCTTTCTTTTGTCCTGAGCATTAGTGAGGAAGTCGAACTCACCACAACCAAAGGTATGAAGAGGATTTTTACTCTGGTTTGGTCGAGTTGACTCCTCAACTGAGTCATCATTTGGTCGTTGAGAGCTCCAGATGTTGGAATAACAGCTATCCTTTCATCTGGAGAACCATAGGGGATCATTTGTGCATTTAGTGGAAGGGAGGAGGCTTCAAATTCACAAGAGAAGGGTACGAACCTGGAACTCTGTGCAACCTTGGTAGGATCAATCTTCTTGAAGATGATGGCTAGGTTGCCTTCTTCAACCACTCCTTTATCTTTGGCGGAGGAGTGCTGGTTCCTGGTGGTTCTCTCCCCCTGGAAAACTGATTCCTATGGGGAGACACCTTTCTGAGTCAGAGTCGGTCTTGGATGGTACTGGATAGTGAAGTCGTCATCGTCGTCGTCTTCATCATCGTCGTTGTCTCCAAGATCTTGTCCAGCGTCAGGTAGAAGAAGATCTTCATCATCACTTTTTTCATCACCATCATCTAATGCAAAGGTGATGGGAAGGTCTTTGTGAATAGTTGGAGCTATCACGACATCATCATCATCCTCAGGATCT